ACACACAGACACACAGACACACAGACACACAGACACACAGACACACAGACACACAGACACACAGACACACAGACACACAGACACACAGACACACAGACACACAGACACACAGACACACAGACACACAGACACACCCACACACCCACACACACCCACACACACCCACACACACACACCCACACACACACACACACACACACACACACACACACACACACACACACCACACACCACACACCACACACCACACACCACACACCACACACCACACACCACACACCACACACCACACACCACACACCACACACCACACACCACACACCACACACCACACAACACACAACACCACAACACCACACACACACACAACACACAACACACAACACACACACACAACACACACCACACACCACACACCACACACCACACACCACACACCACACACCACACACCACACACCACACACCACACACCACACACCACACACCACACAACACACAACACACAACACACAACACACAACACACAACACACAACACACAACACACACACACACATACAGACGCAGATGTACAATCGCAGATGCACAGACGCAGACACACAGACACACAGACACACAGACACACAGACACGCAAACACACAAACACTCACACACACACACACCCCAGACACAGACACAGACGCAAACGCAGACACGGACACACACAGACACAGACAGACACAGACAGACATAGACACCAACACACGCACCGCAGGGGCCAGCGCCATTTTGAGTAACAAACAGCCACATCAAACTCACAATTTGCAGGGTCACGAGACGCTTTTAAGAAAAAAGATCGAAGCGCAATAACAAGTCCCTGCCTCCATGTCTGACAGCGGTCCCAAAGCCACGTTCACCGGCCTCAGCGAGGCATTTTGTTTGCGGTTTCCACGTTGCAAGCAGCCAGCAGTTTGTATACCTGGTATGACGGTCAATATTCACTGTGTTCCCCTGTGACATGGGCACTTGGTAAGCACCCTTCATTTTCTACTGGAAATGTAACGAGTGCCCTCGTCCCCTTTACAATTCATTTGACCGTTGCTCAGAATATCGCTCAACCAATGCTGCCAACGGTTGCCAGCTAGAATGATAGAGGTCGCCTCCCGGATTCAACCAGAAGCGCAAAACCAAGACCGTGATGAGACCTAGTCCTTGTCCTTTGCCCGGCATATGTGCCCTGTCGCGAGAAAGCTGGGCAACGGTACTTCCATCTGTCTCCTGGCTCGGGAGATGGAAGCCTGTCCCCTTTCTTGCTCGGTCCGCGTTGCTGGCAATGGTTTGTCTCCAAGTTTGGGGAGCCATTCCCTTTGGTTTCCCTCTCCAAGGACCCTGAAAGAAGGTATCTTCAAAAACAAAAAAACAAACACACACACACACACACACACACGCGCGCACACTTTGTGCAATTGAATATGAGGAACTTGAACCGTGTCACACGCACACGCAGAGCCACGAATCAAAGGTTCAGGCGCGGTCGGTCAGGACTCGCGAGCGCTCCTCCTTCGCCCTCCAGCCGGTACAATGGAGATCGCCTGCTTGGACCGCCACTTGAGGCGCTTCCATAGGAAGACCCCTTGGATGGTTGGTTTGCCGTGTTTTTCTTTGGCCATGTTTTCGCTCTCACAACCAGCAAGGGATGTTCCAAAAGTTCGGAAGCTCACACACGTTGCTGCTAGTCAAAATGCTACCATCCTTTTGAATGGGCACGATTTTGGAAGGGAATCATGACATCATCCGGAGGGGTCCAAGCTTGCTTTGACTCATTTTCACTGCTAAATGATGAACCCTGGATTGACATACCTGGCAGATTTATAGGGCCCTTGTTTCTTTGACAGTAACGCTTATTTTGAAATGGGGCACCCTCTTGTTCAAGCAGGGCTTGCTATCTGGGTTGTCCTTCCAAAACCCATGGTGAGAGACGGCACGGCCGGGCCTCGTGATCAGCACGCACAGCTGCGGATGCTTGTCCAGTAGCTCGGGCACAAATCGGTCTTCCCTCACATCGCAACTCGAGGGCCGAATGCTGAGTGGCCATTTCATAACTTTTCGGTGGATAAGACCAGCATGGGGACTGGAATGCCCATGGGCCCATGGTCCCATTTTCGGTGGGTAGAGTATTGCGCACCTGAATGAAAATGCTGAGATGGGCACCACCCATATTCTGTCTCCGCGCGATCAATCAGCAAGCCTGGCAGTCGAATGGGACGCAAGTTGAGCCACGGGACCGTGGCGCCCACATGTTCGCCCAACTCCGTCTGCGGGCATAGCCAGCCCAGCAGCCTGAGCGCGACTCACCGGGGATGTGTTCTCCACCGGCATACAAGCAGAATTCCAAGCTTCAAGCCGCTGCAAAAATCATCAAATGAGCACAAGGTGTAGCCGCACCTCCGCACACAAATCACGCTGAAGATACTCCAAGCCCCTTCTCCCTTCTGAGGCTCGCCTTGCACGGAGTCGCCGACACAATGTTGCAGGGACCTAAGTTTACAAGCTGCCAGATCTGAAGCTCTGAGGGCCCAACTGAGGACCCCAAACTGGATGGTTTCCCATCAGTTTGATTTTTAATCTTACCCCAAAAAGGGTACGTACCTGCGAAAACAACAACAGACTAACAAACCCAAACTTGTCCGTCGACTTCTTGAAATTTGGCGATCCTCAGCTGCCAGCACGTACGCCAGCCGTCGCCGGCCTCTGACCTGCACAGCTTCACTACTGGCTGTGTGCCGGCACGAATATTTGTTTGTTTGAACAAAGCGAACCATTTGGGGTGTCCCCAAATTTGGACACCCCACTCAGCACCCGTGGCAAGGTACCCGTTGAGTGGAAAGGCTATAAATCGTGATTATTTAAACATCCTCAAAAATAGCAGTCCAGCAAAGGGTCCCCAAATGTCCCCACTAACGAACACCAACCAACTGTACCCAAATGCCCTCTCTCATCCCTGGGGGGTGAACAGAACTGAATTATGTGGTCTGATTTGAGAACCCTGGCACCTGCAAATTTACCCACCTTTCCTCGACATGCGAAAGGAGTACATTGGCTGGTGACAACTCTGTACTTCTTGAATCACACGTTGGTCTGGAGTGCATGCACGTTCAGAAAGGAATACTTCCGTGGGGCAACTTGATAAAGGAACCCATCCTCAAGGTGCACAAATGTCTGTTAGGTCGCGCCTGTTCTCGTTGACCCCCAATTGCCAAGCCCAGTGATTCCAGTTGCTCGCCGAAATGAAGCATCGAACAAGCCTCGCAAATCAATTGGTCCACACTGCTGAAACAATTCGTTCCTTGTCCGTCTCACATCTCCCGTCGCTTGTCTCGGGGCCCAGGCGGGAGCAAACCTTCGTCCAGGAGCTGTGGCAAAGCGGCAGAGCTCAGCACCTCGCCCGGAGTGCTGCCGGGAATCGGACAAATCGACTTTGACAAGGAGAAACAAGGGAAACAAGGGAAGCGGCTGTTGAGCCTCCCCGCAACTGTCAATTGTCAATGGTTTTGGGCCGCAACCAATACCTGCAAGCCAAGAACTCTTTTCGGGCTTGGACCTTCCAGAGACACTAAAACAATCGTCCATTTCTCGTGGCGCTGCCAATTCAAGCAAAGGTGTCATTTCGCCTGAGCGAACACCTTTTTCAAGGGTCTGAACGAAAGCATGTTTGATCAAGGTTCAGCGTGTTCTTTCCTGGCTGGCTGTCGTCCAGGTGCACGGCTGTGACAAAGAGCTGTCCAACAATAACAACAAGTCTGTGGCAAAAACATGCCACATCTCGAGCAAACCATGCAACGTTCGTGTGTGACCAAACAAAATGGGACGGACGTGAACAGTGCTGCGCAAGTGGGCTTGCGCATGTGCGCTTGTCACTTGGCAGGCATTTGAGCAGTGCTGCGCTGGTGCACTTGAGCGTGAGTCCTCGCCATTTGGCAGGCTCGTGAGCAGTCATTTGGCAGGTGCGTGAGCAGTGCTGCGCGGCTCCGCTTCGGCATGCGCTTTTGGAAGGCACGAGCAGCACTCCGCAGGCGCAATCGAGCGTGTGTGATGATCACTTGGCGGGCGCGTAAGCAGTTCTGCGTGAGCGAATAATTCGAGAGGCACGTAAGCAGTTCTGCGCGCATGCGCTTGAGCGTTTCTCATTATCATTTGGCAGGCATGTACATATGATCAATGCTGTGCGGGAGCGCTTGAGCTCGTTGTGCATGTCGTTTGGCAGCCATGCTGCGCCGGTGCACTTGAGCGTGTGGCTGGCGCTTGGCAAGGGAGGTCTGCCTGTGATTTTGAGAAGCAGCACGAGTCGCGTGAAATTGTAATACAGTTGCAGAGTGGGTCAGATGTCATGCCAGAAACTAAACCCCGCATAAATACATCACATGGATTCAGCCGAACTGGATAGTTTGGAACGTCAAAGTGGTGTGTGCGTGGGTGTGGGCTCTCCTATCTCAGAATTCGGGCAAGGGAGCTGCCTGTGGAAACTCAGGCCCGTGCTCAGTGCGCTCTTGCCGATTCCACATGCACCATGCAGGACGACCACTCTTCGGCCTGACCGGTCCTTTTACTCTCCCTTCGAACCATCATCAATGCGTAATGTTGGCCCAGGATTCATAACCTCCTGGTTGATGATTGGGTCTGTGCCCCCATTTCAGAGGTATTCCTGCACTTTCGGGGGAGTTTACAACCCTCAACGGATCCGCAAGGACACACTCATTCAGCTTTGCTTCTAAACTGCATTCCGCTACCCTGAAACCACTACCCCAGCAAACATGGCCGCTGTCTATCCCATTCAAGGGTCGTGTGAAAGCGCAAGAAATCCTCTCCTCACCTCCAGGCGCCCCGAGCAGTTGAAGAAACCTTTGCAGGTCTTGTCCCCGGCCCACAAAGTCCTCACAATCCTCGCGAGCGGAGGGAAGTTCCCAGAAGTCGGACCCTTTGGTGGAAATAATTTACATGGGAAATTACGTCCGCCAAGCGTTTCGACGAGTGTTCCAATGGTCCCTGGGTGCTGTTAATTGTGTTGGTGGGATGGAGCGTAGCACCCACACAAGTGGCACCAAACACAGCAGAGGCAACAGGAAGCGAATCATTTTGAGGGTGCCCTTGCGACAAGCTCGAACTGCATCAATTTCGTTGTTCGAAATCTCATGAAAGGTGAAGGGAATCCTGCGCACCAATCACACTAGTTCCAGTTGCCACAAGTTCGTTTGCCAGGTTCTCGCGCCACTTCTTCATTTTAAAGCTGAGGTTGTCAAGTTTCTCTAGTGGAGTGATTGCACTTGATGCTAAGCTGGCGGAAACCAACACGAAAAACCATGAGATCAAACATAGACTCCCTTGAATCCATTGACATGTCCACTGGTCCAGTCCGCGGCTGCCTCTGGGAGCGTCTTCCGAGAACAAGTGCTAATGGTTGAGGCCATCTCGTCCGTGAGGCTCACGCAATCCTGTAACACCCAACAAGATCCACACTGTCTCTGATGCTCTGATGATTGATTTCAATACGCGCCTCGGTATTCAGAGAGTCAAAGTCCGTGTCGGTGTCTGCACAGTCAGAGAAGCTCAGTCCCTCCTGCACTGCTCAATAGCCATTTGTCAATTTGCCGAGGGGTCTCCCCTGGCCGTGAATGGTGGGGTGGGTCTTTAGGGCCCTAAGCTTTGATCCCAAGCCATCAGCGCCGTATTTGAATTAGGCGGGCTTGCCTTGAACGTCAAATCAAATGGTTTTACCTTTACCCCTGGCCATTTTGGTCAAGGTCCGAAACATGATCATGATTCATGGGATGAATGCTGCTACACATAGTATCAGTTTCTGTGTTGGCTCCTTTGCAACATGCCCAAGTGACGTGTGATTGACTTTCTTTGTAAAATAACACACGCCAGTGTGCAGGCCATTTCCTGGCTGAACTCTAGGTGAAGCTAAGGCATACTATAACAACACAGCTAGCACAACGGAAGCTCCACGGAGCAAGACTTGCCTTCTCGCATGCAATGTCTATCAGTCTTCCAAAAATTCGGGGCACAAGAGAAGCTAGCTGCAAGACAACAAGCCAGCCTATGGAACCGAATAATGAGGCATCACACGTCCCAAAATCAGTTGCAAAGCTAGGACATTGCAAACCTACTAAGCTTCATCGGTAAATGCGTTTCAAGAGTGCGGCATCCCTTGGACAAAGCGACATATCAAACTGTTAAACAGGGGTTATTCTGACATCCTCTTAAGCAGTACCTCTCCCTCGAAAACAACGGTGCTTTTCCTTTGGCCTTTTTGGATAAACACCTTTTTCAATTGGCCAGAAGCCCTTTCAATGCTGCAAATTGAGTGTGACGAGTGTTGTCAGCTAGCTGCCTCCATCTCCTCCGGAGCCAAGTTCTTGACTGAGCCTGGTGATGTGCAAGCAAATTGTGTAGCAGCATTCCAGCAAAGAATCAGGGGCACCTTTCAACGACTTCATACTAGCTGCTCCGGCACTCGAACACTCACAGCGACTGCCGGCGCCTTGGGCTACAGTCTCTGGAGACGTTGCGACCGGCATCCACACTGAAGCAGCTGAAGAGCAGCTCCTGAGACAAACCAGGGTTGCGAGTGGCTGCAAACTCAAAAAACAAAGTTCTTTGCTTTGATTCCCGAAGGTCGCAAGAACCCAGGGGCCCAGGGGTTGATTGGAAAGCATGAACTGCCCCCTTTTTGACGGTGACGACGGCAAGCTCCTGTTGGATAAGCTCGACGGTATTGCAGGTGCTAAGCCGGGGCCTAGGCTCGGAACTTGGAACCGACCTCCTTGGGACCAATTTCGCACACCTCCAAAAGGAAAATCAAACTGTTGGGCACATCTGTCCAAAGAGGCAGTCTAAACGGACTACCCAACTCGAGGAAAGAGACCCCAGCCTTCCAGCAGGAGCAGCTGATTGGCGTCTGCTCGCACTGCGGCACTGCCCGACGTCTTCAACGCCTTGCGTCTTTGAAGATATGGCACCATTTCTGGGGGTTTTCCGCAAAAACCCAGCCTCTTTGGCTACTTGGAAAGCCGAACGTACTCGCACAGCCAGCCCTGACAGCCAAGTTTGGCAGTGGCTGTGCCTCAAAATCAGAGACCACTGATGGCCGGTTTGCTTTGTGCCCCACTGATGCCAATGTCTGACATATTCACAACGTTTCACGCGCTCGCAAAGCAACTCCAAACCCCTCCCCAGACCTGGTCCGTGACTGGGCGCTTCGCTCCTGGGAGCGAGAAAACCGCGACCACCTCCCCGCAGCTGAAGCGCTCAGCTCCCAGCTCAGATATCATGCAAGCACAGTGAAGGCGCCGGTAGAAGTGAGAAGCAAAGACCCGGGCAGTGGAGTCACCTCGACCCAACTCCCCATAGAATCTGATCAACGTCTCTCAGCATAACTGCAGAAAGCCACGCTAACTACTCTTTTGGCCCGCTTTTCAATCAGCGTGAGTGCCTGTTCCCCTCAAATTCGGTTGCACGCGGTTGCTTTGCCAAGCCAAAGTGCAACAGCAAACTGCTGTCCAAACGGAAGGCACAGCGGACAATTCTGAAATTTGGCATCTCATCCGGAGTCGATTCTCCCAAATGATGAGCTCATGTTGGTGTCCGCGCATAAGCATGGGTTTTCGCACCTTGGGTGGCCTAGCCCGCCATCCTGATGGTTGCTCTCTGGGCGAGCCCCACGCAGCTGGCCCGTAGCGACTATGGCAAAGGAGGCACCAGCAGCAAGGAGCGCCCGACCAGCCTTGCGGCACACAGAGACATGAGTGACCAACAATATTACCACCAGAAACCGATGGACTATAGTTACCACCATTAACTGATAGGAGACGACACCCACCAACGCAAAACCTACGGGGGGACATACCCGTCTGACAGCTGCCTTCGGCGTGATGATGATGATGATGATGATGATGATGATGATGATGATGATGATGATGATGATGATGATGATGATGATGGTTTTATCATTTATGATAATGAGATGATGAACTGATGATCATGAGGAGGAGGATGACCTTTGTTGCTGGCTTCAGGTGTTGACCTCCTCCGTGGGTTGCAATCGGGTCCACTGACAGGGCCTTCCAAACCGGTCACGCTGCAACCGTGCGAAGATTGAGCATGGTGTCTCTCCCTGCCTGCTCACCAGCGCACGCCAGCACTGAAACGCCCAAAGGCGGCTTTTGGCAAGTAAAGGCTTTTGCCTTGGAGAGGACAACAAATTCTGCAAGTGCACACGTCGTCCCAGATCTTCAACTGCGTTTCACACCATCCCAACACCTTTCTCAGACTGGTTAGTTGCCAAGGTCCCTTTGATTACGATCTGCGAGGGAGGCGCCCTTGGTTCGAATCATGCTCAAGGTGGGGGTTGTGCCGAGGGCGGAACTGCCATTGATACTACCTGAGGTGCACCATCTTCATCCTGCCACACACTCCCTTTCTTTGAGGGTATGGGTACCATTGTTGAATTGATTCAAAGGGAAACCAAAGGGAACACGTTAGTGTCGTCGTCACCTGTACAAACTCCCTTGCTCAAAGTATCCTGTACGTGATGAACGGGATAGTCGCCCTGGGAGTGGATTGCACTTACAAATCCGCAAAGGAGCTCTCTGTCAGAAGGTGACTCACACAGTTAAAGAACACCTGACATGTGTTTCAGGGGCTCTTTGCTGCCAGCTCAATCAAGGATCTGAAGGAAAGGTTCACTCTTGGCACCATTCCTCTGGAAGCCATCAAGTCTGCAACCAATCATGTGGGTGTTTTGCAAAAAAGAGGACCCATTTTGGATGTGGCAATCAAAAGGACACCTGCCATGTTTTGATGGCGCTAAATGGAACTGAAAGCACACCTCCCACATCCTTGCGCCTTTTTGTTGCGGGGCCCACACCCATTACTCCCATTACTCCCATTACATCCAGTACACCGTTCCTTGGTCATGGCCGCATGTGGCCTCTTGGAGTGGCCTGTGGCTCGCTGCACGATTTGCCCGCTCGCTCCTCGAGGATGAGGCGGCCCGTGCCGGGGTCCCCGTGGGCGGCGATGTGCCACCAAGAGGGGCCTGTGCTGCCCACTTGCGTTCCAGTTTCACGGAACCGAATGACAAAATGATCAGACGGAAATCAGAGTGTGAGTCCCGAATCAGATTCAAAACCAATGCGAGCCGCATTTGTGATCACAATTGTTCTTGAAACATAACTCATAACCCTACCAGTAGCAGCAGGTTCTGCCAAGGCACACTTGCTTGACACTGGTGGGGTTCCACAGAACAAATTGTCGCGATAAATTAATATGGGGACACTTTGGCGGTCTTCATTTACATGGAGATGTTTGTCCACCATGTTGAATAATACTCCAACGATGCAAAACCATAGCGACATGCCTTCCACTATTTCGCTGGAGTCCTATATTTTCAGGACATGCAGCATCCAGCATCTAGTTCATCTGCAATGGTTTGGTTCTACAGTGTCCATGAAGAGCGACGCGCTGAGGACTTGGTCAAAGTTTAACCCTGAACCTGGGGGGAAAAAACAAAAAACATTTCTACCACCATCATTTTGGCAAAGGGCCAAAATGTTCCCAAGCGTTGACAGTGCCTGAAGAACCGCAGCTAGATGCGAGCCGTGATAGGATGTTGACCTTGTGCCAAAGCCACAAGCTCGAGTTTGGCAGCGTGCAATAGGTCATCATCCACACACTGAGAACAGGCATGTGCAGTATCAGCGTGAATCGCATTCCTTTTGACAGCTTGTAAAGCAAAATAACTTGAATGCGCTCAAGCTCAAGGGATGTAAGGGCCAGACTGTTGCAACAAATACCTGCATTCGAGCCCTGCTGTTTCCGCTGCTGAAGGCCTCAGTGCTGCGTGGTCAAAACGCGACATCTGACCACATGAGCTGTGGACATACGAAGTGGAACTGCCTTCGGAAGTACCTTCGGCAGTTCTATTGCCTGCAGCCAGCCAATGCTCCACCAGCCTCTGTCTTCTAGGCCCAAAGACTCTCTAATCGCGGCTGCTTCTTCCTGGTCAGCAAATTTTTGAAAAGAACGCTGTGCAGCCTCCACTATAATTCTGTCAGAGCCACGCTGATAATAAGCAAGACCGGTGCGGGAACCTGGTCATGATCGCACCGATTTGTCTTTATATCACCCCAAGCTTAATCTCTCTGACATATCTCCGCCCCTCATTAAACATCGCTAGGCCTCCCTCCAAACGCTAGCAAATGCAAACATGTCCAACAAGGTACGACCGTTGAGTGAGGAGTGATCCTCCATATCATCAAGCCACAATCTTGGAGAAGAAGATTGGAGATGTTAGTTGTGCAGTAGACTCAAAGCACACCGTCAACTAGACAATTGGAATCCCAAAAAGATGTCTTAGCAGCATTAGCATAGTTTCAACACATAGCCCAGTGTTACGAGTGTTGCAATGAGCCAGCAGCTAGCTGGAGCAGGTATAGGCGGGCGAGAGGCAAGCACGAAGCTTTAGACTCTAGACCCTGCCCAGCATCCGAAACGTAAGTCATGTTCAAGAAAACAAGGATGATCTGCCGACCCTCAAAACCGGTCATTGTACATCTGCACTGCTTGCTTTCGCCGTCGTGGACGTGCCTGCCTGTTCCTTTGTCTGTTTTTCTGTGACTCTTTGAGCCCCTTTTGCAATTTGTTGGCTTGCTCCGCGGCCAGCTCAGTCTCCTTTGTGCCTGTGGGCCTTTCTTCAAGGGCCGTGCCGCTTGACCCAATTTGCACAGCCAAGTGCTCTGATCGCTCTGGATTCAAACAGCTCAAGGGCAGTGATAGCATTCTCGTTCCTGGAGTTTTCGACTTGGCCGAGAAAGTCAATCTTCGGCTGGTCAAACTTGGCCAAAGAACACTCCGCAAGGGTTAAACCTGCCCTCCTTTTGAGCCACAAGCCATAAACTGATGTCCTGCCAGCTCAAAGCCGGAAGCCGTTCCGTTGAGCTGCCAGGTCGCAAAATGGGAGTCGCCTCAGACGAAAATGGAAGTGATGGACCCACATGGAACGCTGCGTCCGCGTCATATGTTTAAGGCTTCCACAATTTGTGCTTTCGTAGATCCGGCTCAAACATGGCAATGATTCAGCACAAGACCATGTACAATAAGTCCTTAAGTGTGCTCCAAGGCAAGTGACAGGCTGTTCACTTGTCAGGTTTCCTAATAAATCGCGCTCCACGCATTCGCACGTTCAGCTCTATCCTGCCCAGTGCAGAGTCTGGCCTGTTGCTCACATATCAAGATTGCGGGTTGTGTAGTGTTGTTCCTCTCTTTCTTTTTGGGGGCTTCTTCTCGTCTGGTGCGTATGCATGAGCGTGTTCCGCTCAGAATGCCGAAGTTGCACTTTGTTTGAAGGCCTTGGGCTGATTTCCCGTCCAAGAAGCCTGGAAGAACCAACAAGGATGCATGGAGTGCCAAAGGCCTCCTTTGCGTTGAAGGCTATGAATAAAGGATGTGTCAACACAGAGCATGTTGAAGGGGTGAACCTCAGACCCTGTATCGCGCATGGCTGGCAACATGCTTTCTCTCGACTCAGAAGTAAGCTTCTGGCATACAGAAACTGAACGTCCAGAACCGGTCTTTGTCTGCGTTCGAGACCTGCACATAGGAACACACACTTGGTATACCGAGAAACAAAGAAAGAAACGCGACAGCACTACGCCCCATGTTGCACATGAATTTGCACAGCACTAGTAATGTGCATAGTAAGGGCATTTCAGATGCTGCCAATCTGTGCAAATACTTGCGAAAGGCTCAAGGTTGCTGAACACTTTGAGGCTGAGGCAAGAAATGCAGGATTGCACATCCAATTCCTGCAGCCAAATGCGAGCAAATCAGCTCAGAGCAAATGCGTTGACATTCAAGCTACCAGCAGAAACATGATGGGGTGACTCGACTGAGCACTGTGCCTGTGATTCCGGTGACGGAGCCTCATGAACTGTCTCTGGAGCCAAAGTGGTTCCCGTTGACCTCGCCGCTCTACTCTGACAGAGCTTAAGCAAGGCATTTTAGTTCGCTGGTCAAATCTCCATGCTTGAATTGTCTGCTTCGGGCCACAAACGCATCTTGAATTTGCATTGTGCATCATCACCATTTCCAATGGAAGAGATGCACTGGCTACATCACGTGCCTGCGGATAGATCGAGTAGGTCGCCGAGACTTCCGCCCGAGCGTGAAAGTGAATGCCTGGCATGCGACGGGCAGCAAAATGCAGCGCGCCACCTTGATCTGCAAACGCAAGCTCACCACCAGCAGCCTAGCTGAACAGCAAACAGAAACAGCGTTTTTGCGCTTCTTACTGCATCTTGGCTCACTCATAATATGGCTGTGGGTGGAATGAGTGCGCACAATGTCCCTGACTTGTGCGCAACCCCCCATGTCACTCACGATCCCACCTTTCTCATTGAAGGAAGACTCAAAATTAGCTTGTTGCTGCAACTTGTCAGGTTGCAAACGGCAGCACAAGGCGGCACCAGGGTCCATGTCTTTGACAACCTCTCAGTTAGGCACCCAAGCGAGCTGGTGTGACGCTCAAACTGAGTCCTCCTCCAACCGCCAGCGCTACAGTGCCTGCAAATTAGGCCAACCAGTCCATGAACTTTTCAAGCGGGGCGTCGGTCAGTCATATTATGAATGTGGCGATGAATTCTAATCGGGGACCTTTACTGGACATCAGTTTGCACGGGGATTTATGTTCACCAACCATTTGTGAGACCAAACATAGTTCCCCACATTGCCTTTAACCTGGGGGTCCAGGAAGTCGCACTCCTTTTTTGCCAAGTGTGTTGAGGGTGCCTCTTTGGGGTTGGTTCCAATGGAATCCAACAGGAAACCGCACTGAGTCCCGCGCTGCTCGCACGGCTGGACGGAATGGGCACGGCTGGCTCTAGCTCATTGCCTCGAAAAACCGGAGACCGGCGACCACTTTGGACTTCAAAGGGCCAACATGAAATCAAATCCCTCTGGTTTGGTTGCCAGCTCCTCACGCTGGCTCTGATATTCATCATGCTTTTGACTCTTGACGGATGCATCCAACGACGTCTCAAAAACAAAAAATAATCTGCACACACATGTCAGACATTGACCGCAGTCAAGCTTCATTCTGCCACCAACTTTCACATTTCGTGCTTGTATCATTCACATTCTTCGTGGCAAGGGGCTGAGTCCCACTGTCGGTCTTTACATGACTGTGGCTCACATACATGCTGATGAAACAACGCAGTACTTGCAGTTCAACAAGTACGGTCATGAACTGCTAGTGGGTTAAAGCAACCACATCATAGCATGAGGATGCCAATTTGAGCATTGTTGACAGCTTCCACGCCGTCAAACTTTACGGCTCTACTCATGTTGGATTCACTTCCACATGCATCACCAGAGGGTCCAACTCGTGGTGGCATACCGCTACCATCAAATCCGCGGTGTCCACGCATTGTGGTCCATATGAACATGGGGAGACGTCAAACCAACCTTCTGGAAGGGTGCCAGTGACCCACTGCCTCCACAAACCTATCCAATCGCCCCTAAAGCCGTAGAAGCGAATCAAACTCCCCTCGAGAAACCTGTCAAACCCCCTCTAAAACAGGTCCAACTCCAGCCAAATCCTTCCAGAAACCGATCACATTCACTTGGCCGCAGCTCACTGCCATTCTGTAGCTCTCTGCAGCTGCTCTGAAACACGCAGACATGCACCCACCATCTACCTTGGAAACCAGCTCACGCAACACAAGACTTCAAGGCAACTAAAGCGCGGAGTATATCTCAAAGCCAACCAAAAGCGGACTGGCCGATACAATAACAATAACAATAATAATAATAGTAATAATACTAATAATAATACTAATAATCGTATTAATAATTAAAAACGAGGGAACAATACTTACTCTCAACAAATCAAAGACACAGCCTTTGGTGTTTTCCCCACCCCCAGCAAAGCTGAGCCCCCGGCTTTGAAGAGTTTGCAAATGGTGCCGCGGGGCCTCGGAGATGCTCAGGATGCGGCGAGTCTCAGGGTGACATTGAGATGATGAAAATGGATGAGTGAATCCGTCACCTGATAGGCTTGTTGCACCTCACGTGGCCCTGGGTCACATCCTGACAGTGATAATTCCATACCTGATATTCGGGCACGTGTGAGATGCTCAGTTGACTCATTGCCAAAGCGAGATACCTTCTCTTGCTTTTGCAAGTAGGTTTGCCCCAAACACCCTCGAACCTGGCGAAGACTCAGCTTCCCGCGAGAGCTGCTGTGCCCTGGAGAACACTCCCGTGGTTTTTGGGCAGGAAGCCTGATCAAGCGGCGCAGTGCCCAACATCCAACTAGGGCTTATCTGCAACTTGGCAGATTCCCTCTGATGATGTTGGTCAAGATTGGCTTCAATAAAGATAGATAGATACTCAGGAGGATGCAAAGGAAATGCCAAAGATGCCAAAGCAATCGGGCCTTGCACGCCCATTCACAGCCGGTCCGTGTATTGGGACGGGCTGTGTCCGGACACCCACTTTGTGTGGGAACAGCTGCGGTGGGACATTCAGCAACCATCTTCGCAGTCCGGATGGTCTCGGGGCAATTGTGCTTGTAGAAGGTTTATAGGCTTACTCTGCAAGCCACCCCAGTTGTGCGTGTTCAAAAAAAGGTTTCAATGTCATCATTGCTGAATCGCGCTGACCGTTTTTGCGCATCACAAATTGGGTGACACGCTACTTGCGCTGCTGTAGTAGGCTCCGTTCAGCAGCGAGCCACGGATCGGCAAAGCTGCCTCATACAATGTGATAATTTGTTGAACCCCAATGAATGATGATACGTGTTCTAAGCAGCTTGCATCTAGGTCGGTCCTCAATTCCTCCTGGGCGTTCCCAGCTCGGTTCAAGTATAAGTACCTGCACACAGTGCCGCCTCGCTTGTGTGTTTTGCTCGGTCGGTCGCACGTATCTGTACCAAACTCGGGAATGGAATTGAGCTCCAGCCAGCCACCAACGTAGCACCTCGAAATGTCGAAGCAATACAACACCTGTGATGAAATGTGCGGCTGAGCCCGGAACGCGTAGTTCCTGTGCGGCTGTGATATGTGAGTCACCGAAACCAACTCTTGGGGATGGTTTCACACCCACTCCAAACATGGACATCAGGCGGCCTGCTTAGCGGCAAACCGCAGCCAAAGCCAGCAAGCGGCCTGAGCAACAACAATTCAGAAACTCAGCCTGTGCCTTGCATGATCTCAATTAAAGCTCACCTGAATTATAAATACGAGCAACACATGATGCAGACTCACACATACTCACAGCTACTGACAGCTTGCAAACTTGCCTTTCGACATGACCACTGGTACAGCTGTGGTCAAGCTACTCTTGGCTGCGCTATGAACAAATACGCGTGTCTGACGCATGTATGCTCATTGTGTACAACATAGACGCACGCACCTATGTTGTGTATACTTACACAGGACTGCATCGCTGTTTCATTTCTACTGCTTTGCTGCTGCTATGCTACCATCACCGCTTCTCTTACTGCTGCGTTACACCTATGCTACCGGCAACCGCTATTGCCCGCTGCTCTGCTGCTGCTACTTCCGCTTTGCCGCTACTGCTACACGCGCTGCTTGGACCGTTGCTGCTTGCTTTCCCTTTGACTTGACTTTTGTTTGTTGCGCTTTTGCTTCTACTTCCGTGTCTGCTTCTGCTGCTGCCATCACTGCTTCTGCGCGCTTCTGGCGTCTAGTTTCAAATTTACGCGAATAAACGTGGGCCTTCTACTGGCTACCACTTCAAGTCGGCGGCTGATGAAAACTCCTCCTTTCGGGAACCGCCATTCTTTGCGAGAAAAAACTTCTTTCGCGCACATGCGAATGCGCGCCGAAGACCCCTGCAACAAGCTCCGGGCTTTCGCCGGTCTTTCGCGAAACTTGCTCCAAAATAGCCCAGCACGTTTTGCTTATAAACCTGCTGCGCATCTCCCTGTCTACAAGGGAGCGGGCTCTGCGAATATGTGGCAGCTGATCAATATTCCTGTTTCCGGAAAACGCCATCTTCGCGAGAAAAAAGTTTCTTTCGCGACTCCATCGCCACGCCCTTTTGTTTGCAGCGTGCGCTCTGGAGCCATTGTGACTGCTGAATTGATGCTTGCAAACACGGTAGCCGCAGTTCACTTGCGTGCAGTACGTAGTGCTAAGTGCAAGCAGTCACCGTCATTCACCCTTGCCACCTGCGCTTGCCGGCGATGCGCGGAACCTTGCAACAAGCTCCCTGGCCTTTCGCCGGTCTTTCGCGAAACTTGCTCCAAAATAGCCCAGCCAACGTTATTGATTTGCACCATTCCCAACACAGGCAGGGAATCAATGATGCAAGTGTAGGTTCTGCGTATCTCCCTATCTACAAGGGAGCGGGGTCTGCAAATATGTAAGTGCACAGGCATGCCTCCAAGAATCCAACGCGGAATCTTTCGCGAAAAAAATAAGTTTCTTTCGCGAACTCCATCGCCGATCTTTCGCGGAGGGATTTAAGCCAAGACGAATGGTCACCGAATACATAACTCCTTGCAAGGACCTTTTGATCAACCCCCATGTACGCTTTCAAGTGTGGGCACGGTTTATGAGAGCCAGGACTTGCTCCTCCGCAAACACCAAGCAAGGCAAAGTACCTGAACACATGTCGCCCACATTTCTCATGCCAGTTCCAACGATTGGCAATGGTGGCACAGGTATAACGTATCCATAAAACCATGGCATGCCGTTGGATCTCCGCAAAAGTTGACTGATCGCTTGCGACGACATGCGCAGAACCGAAACAGCTGTTGGCACCACTTTGTGACAAGGAGCTGGCACAAGGATCTGGAGTGAAAGGTATGGAAAGAACTTACTGCTGAGGCAAATGTATGGAACAGCATCTGGATCGCTTGTGGGCTCGGAGGCCTGTTGTTGGACGTTATGATTTTGGCCACATAGATATATTATTCAGTCTCTTGCGGCCTCGTTGCATGGCTTGCCATCGTTTCACACAGGCTTCCATGTTTTGTTAATACTTGGTGCCATGTTTTGTGTCACACATGCTTCACACTGGCTCAATGCCATGTTAGATTGCTTGGTGGTGGCGCACATTGGTTGGAAGTGCACAGACGTTAAAATAGAAATGCATTATGAGTCCACTATTCAAGGTTGCGAGAACATACTTGTCACAATGTTGCAATGGCGATGAATTAAAATTATATAGATCAATTAATCAATCAAGACGCATGCGTGTTACTAGCTGTGACATGTTGAACACACAAGACGACTATTGCGGTGAAAGTTTAATATATTCCGATTCTGTACTGGCGTTCACAATCTTCGATCTTCAACGAGTCAATGAGGAGAATGTGACCGCGCATAGTGAGTTCTTAACATTGGGCTGACTCACCTATCAACCACACATTTCAGTAGACGCAAGTCAGTGAAACGCTGCAGGCAGTGCAATGTGAGGCTCCAGCGCAACTCCGTCATCATCAGAGTCGTCATCTTCGTTTGGGCTCATTTCCCCATTCGAAGCCTCCTCAGAGGTGAGACAGGCTATCTTCATTGCGCTGGCTCTAGGTTTAGGAAATACAGGAAACTTACAATATGGGTAATTATGCGTCACAATAGGCGGACATGCTATGTTCAAGAAGAGCACCATGAACCTAGCAACTGGCACCCTGTCCTCGCATGCTGGTCTTGCCGTCGTGTACATGTAAGACCACACCTGCAAAGACGAGCAATCGGACATTGCCCCAGGCCCCAGCCAGGCCAAAACAGCAAGAGCGATTGCATGAGTCACAAGTGTCTCTCCGAAATCCCTGGGCAGTTTCAGCAGAACACAGGGCGCTTGCTGACCTGAACCGCATCAATACTTCCAAAGCAGTGGTGGATTCAAACGCGCGTCATGAAGCACCGTGCCTGTTCCATGTCGTCCAACGGAATACCTTGCACACAATTCCCTACCACGCCCAGTTGCTTGTGGCCTGATATCTACAAGGGCTCTGTCGCATCTCACCCTCCAGGGTTCAAGGCTCTGAGTCGCCCACCCCCTCCAGAGTCAGACCTGATTCTCAAGGCTCAGTTTTTAACACTCGCACTGCGATTCGGGCATGACTTTGAGACCCTAGTTGGGGACCTTTTTGGGGGCATCATGTAAAGGCGGCGGATTGTGTTTGCAGTAAGCATCATAGTCATTTAGTTGAAAATTGCAACAATGTGCAATTCTCGATCTTGCTGCCAACAGCCGAGGGCTTCTTCACAGGAAGATCTTTAGCATCTTTGCTTGGCACGCGCATTACTTACAACCGCGGAGATTTGCCTGTCAAAGCCTTTGATCAAACTCTTCTTCTGACTCAGTTGCCCAATCACCGAAGCAGCATCAGGCTAGCCAGTCGCAAACATCCGGGCACCCGTGCACGCGTAGCACCACGGTGTCGTCATCCCCACAAATGACCACACCTTGCAAGTGTTCATCCCTATCTGGCTTCCATGACATGTCAATGTGGCTTTTAGGCTTTGATTGTCAAAATGCTGATTTCCCAACCTGGGGTCCCAGAAAACAAGCTTTTGGTGGCCAAATTCACCCACACTCATGTTCTGGTTTTGAGACTTGCCGAAAGGCTTGAAGGGCAGCACGTTCCAAGTGCTAGACCGTCTCTTTGATCAGTTCTGGAGATCAATGACGTCCAATTCGGAAAGCGGCCTCCCCTACATGTCCGGCAAGACCAAGAGCCCAGCGAATTGGATACGCTTCTGCTTCTGGCCGAGACCCAAACCTCAACACTCGCGCTGAAGCTGTCCTGTTCGACTTGCGCTTGCTACTTCAAGAGGCCCTGAAGAATTGAGATTATATGAGCGTTTCGTAGCCTGGACTACACACTGGGTCCGTGTGCTTGCACACAGCCCAAGTATGACGCTAAGGGGCACGCTTCTCCACCATCGCCCGCAGAGAATTCTTCAGCAACTCAAACCTAAGTTTGCTATTTCGTGTGATTCCAATGAATAGCTGGAGTGTCTGAGGCAGCCACATTATGTAGTTCAAGTACTGGGAAATAAACGGAAATCGAACCTCCGCTGTCAGCACGAAATGAGCTGCTCTGGCAGAAACTTAGGCATCCAGGGAACAACGGCGTTTGGTAGTGTTTTTTCCCTTTCGAGCTGGCGCTTCCAATTCAAAGCAACCTCCAAGTCCAGTAAGTCTGCCACCTGGCCGACGTCCACAATATCGATGGGTGGACTCCAGCCATAGTGGTGCCTGCGAAACTTGTCATTTTCCACATGCCGCTGCTTGACTGTCAAGCCAGCAACAGCAAAAGAACTGCAAGACTTTGTGCCAAAGGACAGTAAGCTGAAGTGATGAGTGCGTCCTCCCACGTCCCGCCCCAATGGACCACAGACTGCAAAATGCCGACCGAACCTCTGAAATGGTAGCTGCAAATACTTACTTGTATTTCAGACTGTTTGACAAAGCCCTCGGCGTCTTTGATCATTTCTTCATGACACTTCATGCCCCCGCCCTCGCGCAAAAACAACAAAACACATGCCTGCAAAGAGTCGCTGCATCTCGGGCAGCCGAACGTACAACACCCACCTCAGGTTCACAGGAACTTGAGCTATTTGAGTCCATCATCGACAGATTGACAGTACGGCCAGTGCCGTGAAGCTCATGCATCGCTGCGTCCCCAAGCCCCTCAGGCGTCCTTTTGGATAAATGGATGGCACCGGTAAATGATGAGGCCTGGAACCAAATTCAAACCAGTGGCATCTAACTATTTTGAACCACACTGACCTGCACAGGTTACTTTCCATCTGAGGCTCTCACGGGATCACATTCTGGATTCACCACGGATGTTGGTGTATCTGGCCTCACACAGCAGCCGTGCGCGATGTGCAAAAGGGTTCAATCACTCCGAGAAATCAGTACAAGAGTGGCATCGGGCCTTGTGATGGCCAAATACTGTGACGAAAGGATGTCAGTGCCAATCCGAGCCGTCAAAAACTCGTCCAAAAATCGATTCACCTGGCGTGCCGCAAGCTTGCCCAGGCCCTGTAAATCAAGGAGGCAACATGTCTTCTCAATTCCACTCCAAAAACTAACAAGTTGCCTTAATGCCCAGTGTGCCCACACCTGCTCATCTGCGAGGGTCGTGTTGGTCCGCATGGCGCGGGCACCCCTGCACCAGCTCGCGCCCGGGGAAGCAGCCATATATGCATTACACCAGCGTAGACCCCAGATAGCGGGGGAAAAAACAAAAACACCTAGCCGTCAATATCGCGAAAATGCGCCCGCACCATCACCAGCACCCAACAGCACCCCAAACAGCATCCCAAAACAAGCTGCATGCCCCCTAGCTTGGCTTCAGCAACAAGAGTTCTGTCCAGGTGCTTGCTGTCAGTTTTCGTCCGCGCGTTCTCCAATGGTTTTCCATGTTTGTAGAACTAATAAAGGACATGCCTTCCGAACGGAGGCACACTGGTTTTTTGTTCCTTGGGGCCTCCAGTATTCACCCTGCCTCACCACGTGAAAGAGCATGTTCCCATTCCTGCGCTTGATGGCTTGCAGCTCGCTCCGGAAGCTGTCCTGGCAGGAAAACGTTACAGAGTCCCGTTCAAAGGAAAACCCAGAAATTCATTCAGGAAGAGCCTGGTGAGTTTGAACATGTTCAGAACATGAAACCTGCCTGCCACGGCCTTCGAGAGAAAACACCCCTTGTGCAGGTATGTGCAGGTACACCCCTTGTGCAGGTTGGCTCTGCTCGGTCCTTGTCCTCTTGGGTCAGTGCTCGAAGTCTACGAAACGCGTCAAAATACAAGGAGCCTCAGCGGACATTCCGGTCACAGATTTGAAAGGTGGAAAGTTGAGCCACCTTCCACTTTGGAGCACAAGCGTTGGAATCAAAGGCAAACAAATAGTGTGTAAAATAGTTCTAGGGGAAATCTGACGTCCCCCTCATACAGTGGTTATAGAGTGGCCTGTACACCTCCTACTTTTCTGCTCAGCCGTGGTGGGTCGGGGTAAGTGGAACTCATTTTGGCGACATCTAAACGCCAAGCCCTCGGCGAATCATTCGCATAGAGCCGAAGCTGTTCCAGCCGGGCAGCGACTGGCGAAGCATTCCACGGGAGAGAGCGCCCGTCAGGATTCCAGATTTCCACCCTCCCATGCGCCTATTGTTCAAGCCCCAAACAAAAAGGCAAAACATGGCAAAACCCATGGTCTGATCAAGCTCGGCAACTCGCGACTCGCGGCCGGTCCATTTGGCCTCAATCAGCTGCACCCGCCGAGCGTACCGTATTGGTAGCTCCTGTCACGCATACTGGCCCAAATGCAAGGCCTAGGTATGTCCAGGCTTTAGTTTCTGTCCTTCCCCTTTGGGGACAAGCAAAGGGAGTGTGGTTTGGGGGGGAAGGGAAACCCAAAGGCTCCTCATTTTTGTGAATTTGTGAATAGTGTAAATGTCTGTCATGTTGACCACTTGCTGCCTGCCGACGGGCACGCACAAGCATCGGCCTCCAAAAGAAACTCGCGAAGTTCTGTAGGATCCCGCAAGTGAAGGATCTGCTGGAGCGTCATCTGGCAATGACTGTTCAAGTGCCCAATCAACATCAACCAAAACCGACCAAAACTGCCAGGCAACCTGACAAAATGCCCCTTAAAAGAGGAACATGGCCTTTCGGGGTGGTTCTCTCAGGTACTTGCGTCCGGAATCACCTCAGGAGGGCCAGTGACTCAACTAGCTCACTGCCAAATGTCTGGATTTAACAACGCCATCGTCCAAATAATTGCTTTTATCATTGACCTCCTTCCAAAACCGCCCGAAACATGGCCGGGCTGGCAGGATGTGGCTTCATGGCCCGTGCAAAATGCACCATCTCTGATTCCAAGAGCTCCTCAAATCGCTGCTTCGAGACCTGCAGGATCAAGCATGGCCTGCTTTTTGCAGGCCCCGGCTTATGTTCAATGTGTGAGAAGAACGATTCTGAGGTGTAGAGAGTTCACACTGTTTTCCAAGCCTTTGGCTGAAAATGCCATTTCGTGTCAGCAGCGTTCGCATCCTAGCATGGTACGCTTTCAGAACTCGCAACTCGCCTCGACTGTGCCAGGTAACCTCGACGACGCCGTGAAGGTGGGCGAAGCTCGGAAAGAAAAGGCCGAATAGGAGGACGCCGAGTTCAACGTCCTGGAGCACATCTCAACCAGGGCCGCTTGCTGATTTTCTTGCAGCCGGCCTAAACCCCAGGTTGGCGCATGCCTGGCCGAAGCGAGGGGAACAACCCCATCTGGTGGAAGATGTTGGGTGTATTTCAGGAGGAGGCCGAAAGGAAACCAGTTAGAAACCATAAACTTTGGATTCTCAAAAAAAAAAAGAGCAACAAACATTTTTTGATGGGCACAGGAACAAAAATAGGCAACCCCCCCCCCGTGAACAGGCGACAATGAATGATTTCCAATGACTTATCTAGTTAAAACCAATCAATTTATCAATCAATTCATCAGGTTCCCGTGAAACGACCTCATCTGGATATCCTGGAAACTGAGGGATTCCTTTTTCGGGCTGGTTTCCTTTTGGCACTTGAAACACGAAAGGGTCCAATGCACATGACCAACGCCGAGGACCACACTCTCCATGGCAGAGGCCATAGTCTGCAGGCGCGATTCATTGCGAATTCGGGGGCTAAGCCAATCGCATCGCCTTGAGATACTGCTCACCTTGCTGGATTGAAATGGAACCTGACGTCAGCCTTCGAAGAGAAACCATAGAGGTATAGCCTAAGCTCAAACTGCGCTTGTTCCAAGGGCAAGGGTGGCACCTGTTGGAAATGGGATTGCAGTATAGCCTTCCTACTCTCGAGCATTGGTGGCGCGAGTCGAAATGCGGGCGCGATTGCCAGGTGCTGAGAAGCAATCAAGAAGTCGATCTTCGGGGGGCTGCCTGTTGCACAATTGCAGTCGTTTCATCAACTCCAACCAAATCAAAAAAACAAACAGCCTGAACTGATAGTTCAAGCGTAACCCTCCAAGCCTTTCCGAGTTCTGATATTCACTTACCGCGTGAATCAACACTTCCATGTCCTCTTCCAGTTCAGCATGTTTGTCACTTCCCGGCGCAGTGTTCTTCCACGCTACATGCACGTTGTTTACCACGCAGTTTGGTAGATAAAAACGGACATCCTCAAACAAGATACCAACTCATCCAGAACAACTGGAATACATACAGTACTGAGACATACTGAGACAAGACGACGACAGCCACAACCACAATCAGAACCGCAAGTGCAATCACAACCATGGCACCGACATCACCACAACTACCACCATCAAAACCGTCACCATCCGTCAGCTCAGCTGAGTCACCACACCCCAACCATCATATCAAAGTGACTAACACAAGCACCATGACTTTCAATTCGACCATCACAAGCATCACCACCGCCACCACCGCCACCGCCGCCACCACCGCCACTACCTCCACCAGCAGCAGCACCAGCACCATCCTCACTACCACCACAAGAACAAGCACGAGCGCGAGCAGGCAGCGCGAGCACCAGCAGCGCCACAGAATTCAGATTCAACAATCAGAACGACGACAACACACGACATCGGCAAGGACAACACCGACGATGACAGCAGCGGCAGCAGCAGCTGCAAACAGCAGCAACAAAAATGAGCACTTGGCTTCAGATGTCTTTCTACAGCAACTCTGCATTGGCTGCCACGTACAAGAAGCTCGACTTGCAATGAATTACGTCCTGGACGCTGACACCCTCAGGCTTCCCAAATTGAAGGCTGGATTCCCTGGCTCTGCTCTAGTCCATTCTATTTAGGTGTGAATGACTGGCGCAAGTGCCGCAACTTTGGAAAGTCTGGGACTCAATGCGCCGCATGCGGCTCAGTCGCTTAGCCTTGCACATTGAGCACATTAAAGCGGTGATTGTAGCTTCTGCGCTGCACAAATTCTGCGACTCATCTACCTGGCTTTGCTTCTACTCAGGAAACCATGCGCAACTTGCACACGGACACGTCTCGAGCATTTTGTCAGCTGAATGGGCCCACCTATGTAGGCGAGTCTTCTTGCAATTCAGGAAGTACAGGCTCCTTTTCAAGATGCCTGCCAATCACAGAGCTCGGCACAACCACCACACGGGTGCGTCTCAAAACAAAGAACCTCCAAATTGGTTGGTGTCCAATTGGATTGTGCTTAATCGGTTTTACTCTCGACCAACATGGGTACCTAGTCTTGACGCCAGCGCTACATCGATCGACAAAATCTTGCCTCAAATGCAAGCGAAGGACCTAAGCTGCGCGATGGCACTCTCCAGGTCACGGAAGAGTTTTGGACAACGCGGGGGCTTCCCCATTTCCAGGGAGCCCAATGCAACTGATTGCTCTTTGAAATGAACTCTGAACGGTGCCAAAAAATCGGTCCTAGAATTAGAGTCAACTGAATGCAGCCGCTCCCTATTGCATGCGCCTTTCAGAAACCTAAAAGAGACGCATGAATTGGTGCTCTATGCTTTACACTTTATCCCCAATCACTCAATCACTCAAGCTGCTGATTGGACTTCATAGACTCCATTTGAGAACAACTGTGCTGCTTACCATAAGCGAAAACTACGATTCTGTAGGCCGTTTGTCTCGACTCCAAAATGCTTGCGTTCAGTTTCATGTGACTTTCCTCTCAACATCGTTCCCATGTGCATTTTGCTTGTCCTCATCTCAGTGTGGCTTCTGTTTGACGGGGGCCCTTTTTGTGGCCTTTGAAGACACCAACATGACACCCAAGGTGAGTCTGAACACGGTTTCATCCCTAAAATGGCTGTCGTCTTTCGGATTTAGATTCCTTTCGTAAACCGGCCCTGCAGCGGAGATCCTCAAACGACCCCGTTTGGAGACGCATCCACCTGAGCAGCGACCACAACCCATTGACTTGTGGTTCTACCCTGGTGATCCCTGGTGAAAAAGGTTGAAATGTGGGCCTTTTACGCTCGAGCCACCTGCTGAAACAACCAAATTGATAGAACCAGGGACGCTTGACTGGCTTCTCGGGCTTCGGATCGCCGGAACTTCACTCCAAGTGGCATCCTCCATGAGCGGCACGGAGTGCACTGCCCGGCCTCTCGAACGGCTTCTCAGCTCTGGGCAAAATGGTAGCCTCTAAAGAACAAAGCAAAGGGAGGGCGGGCAAAGCGACCCCAAACGAACACAGTCTTCGGTCTACTGAAAATTACCCTCCACATTCCGGATTTGCGGCTTTGTCATCCCAGGCAGGGACTCATTTTTGGGCTACTCCTGAAAGCAACTGCGATCTGCTAACACACCGTTCAGGAAGGCTTTCGGCAACCGCTGTCACGGAGCATGATGCTGATCAATGCTCATGTGTGGCCAAGAGATCGGGTTCGCGGATTTCTGGGCTATGTTTCTAAAGGTAGTTCGCATGTTTGCGAGGACGCTTCACGGCGAAAACATATGTTTGTTAAAAAGCACACATAGGACTCACATGATGCGAAACACCTATTCAACAAAGTTCTAAGTCCTTTGTTGAGGCCCTGGCTGTTGAGCGGCGGTATGCAAGGCGCACAAGGCCTCAAACGGAATCTGCAGCGTGTTGATTCAACCATAGGGCCCCAAAGACCCACCAAGGCGGTGGCGCCAACATGAAGCTGCCTTGCCTCGCACGCGGTGGGCCACAAGGGAGTTCAAGCCCAAGCCCAGCACCAAACTAATCTGTTGCAGGGTTGTCCTTTGGCCACCTTTTGCAGGGCAGTTTGGCATACGTGTGGCTGCGCTGTTCTGGTACATCGGGAGAAACAACAAATAAAATACACCAGCATAGACCCCAGACTCAGATAGCAGTGCTTGCACACCAGCACCTCCAAAAGCACCCCCCCGAAGAACGCCCCAAGCAAAACCCGGCCGGCAATCGAGCAAAAATGCGCCCACACCATCACCCTGAAGAGCACCCAAACAGCACCCCCCAAGACACCCAGCCGTCAATCTTGCGAAAATCAACCAGCACCCCAAACAGAATCCCAACCGCCACCTAAGCTGCATGCCCCCTTGCACCCTACCGTCAAAATGCAAACATGCGCCTGCACCGTCACCCGCGTGCCAGATACCACCCGAGCGTCAATATCGCAAAAATTCGCCCGCACCGTCACCAGCACATCAAACAGCTCCCCACGAACTGCGTCCCGAAGCACCTGCACAAGCACCCCAAACTGCATGCCCCCTAGCACCCTGCGGTCAATCTTGAAAAGATGCGCCCGCACTGCCATCAGCACCTCAAACAGCACCCCAAACTGCACGCCCCGTAGAACCAGCCCATCAATCTCGCAAATCACTTTCCCCTCTTTATTTGAAGTTAGAACCCCTATAGCTTTCAGCTATCTGGGGAAAAACATGTCTAGTCGGAAAGCCGACAACCAAAGAGCAGCCACGCCAGCTGGTAAGCCGCTAACGTCGCTAGCACTAACATTGTTACAACATTGCATGTGGAACAAAAGACCCGTTGTATGACTCATGCTCACAATCTCTTGCTCCACATTGGCTTGATGTTCAACATGTTGGCTTCGAATTTGGCCAAAAAAGAAACAAACTCCATGAGAACCTTGCTGTCTCTGATTTGATCCTCCGTTCTGTCACCGAGACACGTTGCAAATGATGAGAACGATGGAGATGGACGACACCGGCCAGCGCAGTCAAATTGCCCTGCCCAGGCAGATCAGCTGATTTTCCGATTCGAAGCACTTGCAGCATGCTAGGCAGTGTGGCAGGTCGGCATCAGAACTCAAATAAAAGCAAGGTACCCATCCAAACGCTACATCGAGCGTCGTGACATTGCCTTTATCTTGAAACACCACAACGCAACCTGGATTTTGACATATTCTCATGTAGCTCAACATGATTTCACCTTCAGCCGCCCTGTGCTTTTGACTTTTTGATTTCTGCACAGTCTCTCTGGTTTCGTCCATACTATGCTCACACTGGTCGAGCGCAACACACCTGGGCTGAGCTTGTGTGGCTGCATCACAGCAATAGCTTGGGAGCAATCAAATATGTCTCATGGAACCTCCCTGCGCTAAATGCACTCATGACTGCTGTCGTATCGTCGTACGACAAGGTCGCTTGACCAACTGCACCAAAATCAGTTGCCCAACCCAGTGTTCCTCGTATCGCAAATAATAACATGAACGGATATGAAAGTGCCGAGTATGTCTTAGCAGCCCGGTGATGCCTGCTTGGCAGGGCCGCCACAGCTCATCTTTGCTGAGGCTCTGCTGAGCTGCGCCTGCGGCTCGCCAGCGAGTAAAATGAAATGAAATGATGCTACGCATCAAGAAAACCATTCCCTTTCGCAGCCCTTTCCCCATCACCAAAATCGCTTGAGCAAAAGCATCTGGGTAGTTGGTGAAAGTGTTGCTGCCACAACTGCCATGCCTCGCGCACTGAAGGTATGGCAAAGCCTGCAGCGCCACTCCATTCTCATTTCAAGCTGCAAACCTTATGATTGACAGCTCCCGCAGTGAAGCAAATCATGGCTCCGCAGCTTTTCTACAAACCGCCCCGTTGAGCCTACCGCATCCTAAGCTCAGTTGCCCTTGCCGCCGCCCTTGCCCATGGGGGGCTTGTAGATGCGCCCCTCGGGGCTTGCTCGCAAGACCTTGTTGCGCACGCGCACCACTCGGCCGTGGATGGCGCAGGACACGCAGTAGAGCATCTTCATGTAGAGCTTTGGCAGCAAAAAGCTCTGGTAGAAGCTGGCCTCGCGCAAGTCTCGCTGCGATGAAGCATCCACCATATTTCGCACCTGACAAAATCACTGGCCGCTTCTGGAGCACTTATGAATGGAGCAGGAGAGAAAACTACCGGGTGAGCTATGTTTTGGGGTCAACATGATTCACTTTGGCCCTGCTCTACTTGACAGAGCTTGTGAGCTATCGAGTTTTGGCGCAACACAGCATCCGCACATTTGCATGGCAATTTGGAATGCTTGCTCATGCGCAAGCTTGGAATACGTCCAAACCGACCCTACATTGCCTGATACCAGCCAGCCATAGTGGCTAGCCATTTTATCCTTTCTTCACTTCATGTAATGGACTGTTCCAAATTGATATTTCCCAACTGTATAACTGCCTGTTCAAAATCCCTTCGCCAAAAGTCGTAAATGGAATCCTACGCTGCCTTTGTATTGTGGCTTTCAAGGTTTGATACTGGCATAGAAGCATGGCTCACTGATCCTGCACACAAAGATAGAAACAAGCTCAGCGTAGATTGGAAAGGTATATCCTCGATGGAACACACATCATTGGCTATCAGAAACTGCCAAACAACTCAAAACACATCTCCCCACCTGGAATCGCTTGATAGCCTTATCCTTGGGCACGCAGCGGCAGCAGTTGGAGCAGCGAACAATGGCTGTGTGGCCACGGCCGTGCTTGGAGCGGCCATTGTTCCGGCGCTTGGAAGGCATCTTAAGTGACAAGCGTGCGAACTGGGACGGTCTGATATACCCTTGAGCCAGCGCCGCAGTCCATTCACATGCGGTGAACACGTGCACCTATCGTTCGGATCCGCATTGTCGGGACTGTCCGTAGGGAAACAAGAAACAAAGCACCGCGAATTGCAAGCAAGAGACAGAAACACACTACGAGTACGGCCCCAAAGAAGCGCATCATGCCGGTCATGTAATCATATTTAGATGCGTGCTCAGCCAACAAGAACAATCAGAAGCTTCTCTTCTTGCTCTGGGGTCGTGCTACTTTCCATTTCCTGACAACTCATTCCAAGTTCGCATGGTTTTGTCTGCAAATTTGGGGACCCCCATAACGGTTAGTTTCCGCTTGGTTCCTCTTTAGCAAACACGAGCAGAACTTCCCTAGGCAGACTCACCCTGATCCGACCACCACCCACATCTCTGAGCGCTGAACTCAGGCAGCCGCTCCAAAAGCCCGGCATGGCTCATGCAGGGCTCTTGCCAGCTGAAAGGCTGCCATCAACCATGTAGAGTCAATCACAGGTTGAGTTTCAGGTGATTCGGCACACCTTCCCGTAGACAACAATGGGCTAGTTCTGGCAAATGATCCCACATAGCTGCACCAGTGCTAGTTGGCTATTTAACCAGATGGAACCATGCAACAGACGATTTTGATCTTGATTTCCGTGAAACATGAACCTCATGAACCTGCATTGAATGAGCCATCAGCTTCAGAGTGAATAATGAACGACCGCGCGACTGAATGAATGATAGCTTGTTGCCCGGCCGGCCGGCCTTCCACCAACGCCTTGCAGTTGCTTCTCAGGAAGGGAATGTGGGGATGAACCCGCAAAACCAAGCACAAGTGATCGAACGTTCAAGGCAACGACATACCTCATTGCCTAAAGAACCGTTTCCTGAGGCCGGCACATTTGCTGCTTCAAGGGTTCCATCCGCCAAACCTCGCATCGTCTCAGCCAGGGATCTCATGCCTCAGCGACAGTTCAGGTTGCCCCGTCAGCCCAGCGCAAAGAAACCCTTCGCTCAACCTCGTTTACACAAACTCAGCGCGCTACCCAAACACACCATGAAACATTTTGGCAGAGAGCTATGCGAGCGTCTCAAACTCAGTCTCTAGCCCTGATTCACTGCAGACATGCCGCGCGGCACGCGGTCAATCCTAAGCAGGCAACCAATCTGCTCTGGCCCATCCTTTGCTCCTTCTGATCTGGTGATTTCAAGTCAAGTTGCAGTGATCTATAATGCCTATAGCACAACACCAGCTTGTGTGAACTAAAAATATAGCTTCGAAGTCCAGCGCTGAGGGCTCGTATCTTTGCCTTTCAATGCCTATGTCTTGTCATCATCATCATCATCATTCTCCTCATCCTCATCCTCATCCTCATCCTCCTCCTCCTCCTCCCCCTCCTCCTCCTCCTCCTCATCATCATCATCGAATCATCATGCTTTCATTGTTCGGGTTACAATCCGGTAATTTTGTTTACATAATGATTGCTTGTTTACATCTCTCATTTATATGTCTACATTTCTTCATCTCAATGTATTCTTGATGTTGAAGTTTAACACTTGGACGTATGTAAATAGGAGATGAATTTAAGAATTATGAATGACAATGTTTATATGATGCGATGGACAGCATATGAGATCTCTATGTGATCTTCTCCAAATTATTGAATGATCACTACATCGTTATTGTTGTAATATCAGTATTCAATATACGTTGTCTCCTTACTTTTGTAGTATTATCTTGATTATTCCTTTCCATCTGAAATCATAATATAGTAGGACAAATGATTCGAAGAAAGAATGACGCGCTGCCTCCAGGACTCTATCAAACACCAGGAACCCTGATCTTCGTGCAGTGAGCCGTTCAGCACAGCCTGTTGGAGGGCCTGGGTCAGTCCCAAGGGCAAATTGATGGATTTGCTTCTCGCATAGTTCTACGAATGGAAGGAGCCGCACAATTATTATCTTTCGGCTAATCTATGTAGGTAAATGTAGGCAACTGTGCAATCTCTTGCCGGGGATTTCGAAGTTGACACGTTGAGCATCTGGACGGTATCTCAGGATGCCACCAGGCTGGTATGCTGCCGACGCCTGCGCGGCGCAACGCACCAGTATGGGCGAACCTGCTTTGCCATTTCCTAAACTTAGATATCCTTGTTTGGTTGATAGACTTTAAAGTGAAACGCGACTTAAGGAGTGTGAGGGTCAGTGGGAGCTAATTAAACTCCGGCCTAGCTTTCGGCAGAACTCGTTGGCGAAGGAGAGGCAATTCCTGTGTAGCCAGTGGTAGTCCTGATAAAGCACTGCCGAGTGCGGGGTGGGATGCCTAACATTCAGCCACTGGACTCTGTAACGAAATTCCCTATATTGACTATCCTGGAAGAATCGTGGATGAGTCATGAGCTTTCTTGGTGGTTCCACAAGGGGTCTTCAAACCTCCGCTCTCCGTGGTACCAAGCCAGTCGGTATTTGCGTTTTAGAAGGCTTCTCAGCAGCTTCAAAGGGTCCTGTCCCAGCCAATTCTCCACCAGATCTCCAAGCACCAGGGCGACCTGACTGCCACACCAAGCATCATGAAACAAGGTGGCGAGATGGATGGGTGCTTGCAGGTGCTTGCTCACAGGGACCCTTTGTGGGATCGCCTTTTAGGACAAAACCGAGAAGAGGTGCGAACACGCCAACAGTGAAACATCTGAGCCTGCGACCTCTGCGTTGCTGAAGTGCGTAAAGCCCAAAGAGATGGTCTCTCGATACCTCCAGGTCACTGTGTCCCATTTGTCGCCAGCGTTGCTAAAACTCTCGGCTGTGATAGTGGTTCGCTGGTACACAAGTTGCAACCAACCCATCATTGCCGCAACACACAACTTGCCAGACTGTCGCAAGAATGCTCTATGCACAAGAAGTTAGACACCAGAACACCAGCCTGTGCTTCTCATTGCTCTTGGGGACTTCGCAAACAATGCCCGTGCCGCAGCGGCCTGGAATTGTCAGTCAGTTGTAAGCTTCCTTCTCAAAATGGGTATAAGTATAAGTTTTCTTGGGGCCCTTTGGTACATATATGTGAAATCAAGCCAAATCTGAACCGTGGCACACGCCTGAGGAGCCACCGTAGCTCCACTCTCGCCCGTAGACCTGGTCACGACCCTGGGATCTGCGATACTCTTGTTCTTGATCTGGGTAGAGATCAGTAACTTACCGCGGAGTCTGGACCACGGCATGGACTAACAGCATGAAAGGCACTTGTACCGATGCGCGGCTTGAGAACTGGCCTCAACGCCGGCATGGAGTGCTCCACCCACTGGCATCAACTCAGACCTGACAGGGAATATAAACTACAAGTGCCAGAACCACTCGTGCAGCACAGGGGTTCAATGCGGGTTGCCGAGGCTGAGACGCCAAGATCTGATTCATGCGGACAAACCTGAACAGAACAGGCTGGAGGCATTGGTGAAAGGACATGGGGCTCCAAAGGCAATGTTAACACAATTCTCCTGCAGCCTAGTACAGTAAAAGGCCCTGAGGTCGCTGCTCCATCAACTCGTACACATGGAGCAGAACCTCACACTCAAGTGGAAGCTGAGTGCATTCAAACCGCGCGGCCTGGCTTCCTGAATAAGCTTCAGCGGTGGCTGTGAAGGCCTCAACCGCCGGGTTGTCTCAAGCATCTCGACTTGCCTCAGGCCCCTGCCTCCGTGAAGCAATGACTCGCCTGCCTCAAGCAGCCCGCGTCCCTGAAGTGGTCCTCTGTCAACCATTGGCACCTTCAAGTTGTTGGCCGTTTGGCTTCGGATTGAAAACTACCAGGGGCTCAAGTCATCCAAATTAAACGCACCATTCAGATACCTTTTGGGGCACTCCAGTGTCCTCCACGAAGCCCCCAGAGCGTGGTATGGGAGCCTGAGCGGAAGGGCGGAAACATGTCCAGGGGCCGATTTTGTCTTTCCAGCCTCTGGCATGACCAGCAATCACATAGGAGGCTGCTCTGCCTAAGCCAACATGTGCTGTGACTGAAGCATCTGGGTCTGCCCTGCCTCTTTTGCGAAAGATCGAAGTCAAGAGGATGCCGAATCGCTACACCGTTGTGTTGATCAACTCATGAACACTGTAGGTGTGTCTCTGCTTGCCACTGGTAGGGTGGGCTGGAGCCTACGATACTCAAGTCAAACAAGCATGTCTCCCACTCGAAAACGACATTGCACGTGTAACACAAATACCAGCCAATCATCTATGGCCGGAAGCGACGCAAAGAAAGAGTTGAAGTTCCTAAACGGCTGGGTACTGATTTGCCATGGCTTGACTCCCGTCCTGAAATGCAGTCCTGCAGCCAAAAAGAGCGGCATACACAAACGCATGGTTGCCCATCCTGCGTCGGCAAGCTGTCGGGTTTCAACGGCCTCTCCGAATGTCGTCTCAAACTCAAGGACAAGCAACGGGGTCGTGTCGGGCCAAATTCAGCTGGCGGCCACTTTGGCGCTCAAGCGCCGGGTCTGGGTCATAACTGGAGCGAAAAAAAACACATGGAGCTGTGCGTTCCGATCAGAACTGCTCCTGGAGGGCGCACTTCGGGCAACCGGTGAGAAACACCGAGGTCTCGCCAGAAACAAGCCGAAGGCTCACCAGCAACGGAAAGGTCTTGACACGCCACCTTGCTATAACCCATACAACTGGCAATCCTTGAGATACTGATGGCCCGTTGCTCTATCGGAAAGTGTCTAACTTGGAAAGCAGTCAGCTCACTTGGCAGGGTTCAGCACCCAATCGTAGCCTTCCTGCCAGTGCACGGCCGAGTGAGGCCACATGCCTCTGGGTGCCTCAAACGATGCGCACTAGCCACCCAGCGCCCAGGCAGCACATCACTTGCCTGCCCCTTTTTCTTTGCCGGGCGATGTGGGGGATAATTACCTTTGACCAACACACGAATACATTTTGAGCAGATGCACCCGTCAAAGCTTCCAAAAGAAAAATAAGTTTGTTCAAGGTGACCCGCTTACTTGAACGCGCCACGCCCCATTTCCTGGAGATCAAGCAACAAGAGTTTATTCTTGCTAAATGGGCCAACATGTTCAGCCAACATGCCTCTTCAGTTGCCTCTGTGCCACCAGCAAGCCCCACGCAAATGTCCGGCGAAACTCCGGGTCCCTTGCAGTGGTATTAAATCTTGAGGGGTTCGCAAAGCTACTTCTTGTTTGGTATGTGTTTCCCTTTCTACTACCATCTACAAAGGGTTGTCTTGAGCATGTCATTTTAATGCTGCCTGTCAGCTACCCCATGCTCACTCATGCTGTCGTGGTTCGCGGACACAATGTGTACAGAACTCTAGGCTCTAGGGGCTCTAGGTGATGCCTCCCACGGCTGGAAGGCGAGAAGCGCCACAAGGAAAATGTCTTCAAATGGTTGCTTCCCTCACTCATCCGCAACCAATCCAAGGGCTCCTTACGTTTGGTCAAATTGCCAATCCGTAGCGAGGCACCACTAGGGAGACCACTAAACACCATCTGGCATAAGGAAGGATCGACTTTGAACAACCCACAATTGTCAAATCCTGAACTGTGTGTCACTGTATGATTGTTTATTGAGGGTGCCCATTTTCACGCATATCCAAAAGGAAAACCGCCATTTTGGGCTCCCCATATTTTGTATCTTGCCGGTTACTAGACTTCACCCTTGCCCCCCCCCTCCTCATCGAGCTTGTCAGCGAGCTCCTTGCCACCACTCTTCAGGATGCGGCCCTGGTACATGACGTGCCTTACGAGGCTGCGCCATCTGCCGAACGTCTACTGATTGCCACGGTCAACAAAATGGAAAAGGTATCTCGAAACAAAAAAAAAGTCCTTCCAGTGATGCAACAATGGTGAAGGTTGCCCTCTGAAGCTTGTGGCTGCCAGTCACCAGCTGTGGCCCCAAAAAGAGTTGGCTTCTGCTCAGCCAAAACATGTTGGCTAGCGTAGATGTGAAACCGCCTGAGGCAACTGCACGTGGTCAGCTTCCACGTATCGCAAAAACCGCTCAAAGTGAGTCACCACCTTGGTGTTGAGCAAGTCAAGCTTGACTCACCTGCATGGCCTCACGATCCCTAGGAGCTTCACAAACGCATTCGCCCGCAAATATGCCAATTTGCCTCAAACCAGTGAATGGATTACTTGTTTAGGACCACCAGCAAACGCCTGAACAGTGAGGCGACGACCAGCATGGACCTCTTGGGATCTTGTTCCCGAACGTTTCGGATGGCCTCCGCCACGTCCTGTCGATGGGCGAAATGCCGGAGCTCGTCAGCGGGACTGGAGCCACTGAGCTCATGTTTTGGGATTAACTCCATGGAAGGTCATGGTCACAATATGTCACCATGATACCTCGCAGCTTTGGTTCGAGACAAAGGCGGCTCTCTCACTCCTGGAAACCTAGGTGCTGCATACCATACATAGCAAGGCATTTCCCAGTGAGGTCCTTGAGCGCATCGATATCCAGTCCCGAGTCGATCCTTAGCACAGCTTCCACACATGTCAGCCTGCCACTGCATGTGTCTCCAACACCAGCATATTAAATTCACCGCGCATTCTATGTTCTCTCAACCTGATCATGGTCGGGCTGTTCAAAACGACATGTTTGTTTAACTTGTTGGCAGTGTGGCATTGAATGTACGGCCAGTGGACCCTTCGCTGAGCAAGCAGGGAAAAGTGCAATGGAACAAGTGCCATATCAAACATGAGCCTTTCTTTGCTAAGTACAAACACCTCCACCGAAGGCGCACGCCTCTGGCCGAATGCTGGCTGGCTGGCTGGCTGGCTGGCTGGCACACACACACACACACACCCACATGCACACGCAAAAGCACACGCACACGCAGACGCAAAAAACACACACACAGACACAAACGCACACGAACACGCGCACGCACACACCCACCCACACACACACACACATCCTCCTCGATTACACCAAACATTCTCACGGAATACCGATGATGTGGCTATATTGTCAGAACTGGGCCTTGTGCACATGGTTCACGCGGCTTGCCTTCAATCCATCACCAAAGAGTCGCCAGTTGCGGCATACATGTTTAATTATGCATTTTTGTCTGCATCTCACTAATGCATCTGAAAAGCTCGTCCAGAATTGCCAGCTTTGGCTGCAACACCGCCATTTGCAGCATCTCATTCCTGGCGTCGCTTGTCATTGAGAAGCTGCGCTGGAAAGAGGTCCTGTTTTGGTTGTTCTCCATGAGGTCACGCAGCCAGTACAAAATGAAAGCCTTTCGAAGTCCTTTGAGTTCTGTCGCAACAAATGGGCGGCGGTTTCCTGGGGATTGTCCTGACCCAATCATTCATGCGCTTTTGGCCGGACTACAATCCCTGTACGCTGTTTGTCATTCTCCTGGGCACTTCCCTTTCGAGTTTGATGCTTTTCCGTAACTTCGACACTAATGTCCATAGGGCCTGAATAATTGGTGACCAAACTCCCGCCAAAATTTTAACTTGTTGTTTCCGCGCGGTGATGGTCTGTGACAGCGCCCGTCGTGAAGGTGGGAAAGGCAGAGCGAACAGAACTGAGACGTTCATATCTCATCCTCAAGCGCTTTCGCTTCCTTTGAACCGATACGGCACAAGCAACACCAGAATCGACGCAGCAGTCTGCATCCGAATTCCGAGAGCCTGCCCGCAAAGGATGCCATCTCCGGCTTGCATATCTCCGCGTGGGCACAGCGAGACAAGCAAGATTTTGTCCGAGGAGAAGGAACCTCCACCCTCTTCCGCGACACGCGCTCAAGAGCTCCTGCCTGTGGACAGTTGCACTCCTGCATTGCATCGGCGGGAACAAAGCACCGATCGACAATCCGACGAGACGAACTTCTTCCCGGCGCCGCGCGAGTACGCGAGGGCCTGAGCAAAGAAGGAGGCTTCTGGCCGGCTTGCTGCTGAGCCATGGGTCCTCTCTACCGCCGCGCCCCGCTCGGCAAACAAAATAGTTTGACTCGCGCTATCAAATTGCGGAACTCCTTCGGCTCAGGCGGACGATTTGGGGGGGGGGGGGCGGGGAAACTGGGATGATTCGATGTCCTCCGCTGCAACTAACGTTGCGGGACATCTCTGTGCTAACGGATTCTGGTAAGAAGGCTTCTGCTGGGGCAGACCCTGTCTGCCGGCAACGTGGAATGACCGTGAGCACTCAGCATCAGGTGTGATTGGCGACTCATGAAAGAGCTTGCGTGCCAACTGCTCTGGGGTGCAACTCAGCCATCTTTCGCGATGCTTTGACCAAGGCTCTCGCCTCTGTGGCAACTGGAGCGACCGGTGTGAATAGCAAACAGATCTGCCCCAACTGCAAAGTTATCCCAGCGCAGGCTGCCATCACAGAGGGTGCTGCCGCCCACACTGCACTCCATGGCGGCCAACACCTGAGAATGGGGCTCACGAGCCACATGAAAACCTCGAAAACTCCTCACGGCAACCGCTCGCTTGCAACTGTTGCTAACCTTCAAAGCCGCGGAAGGGCACTCTGGGCCATTGAGCAGAACAGCCCGGGCGAGCCGGGCGGATCACTAATGCCCCAGCCAAATGTGCCCATCGGCAGGGATGGGTCTCGAAGGCGTGTTTTATACCGTTGCTGTGAACCACAACGGCTTTGACTTCTGGCTGGTGACATGCGTGTCTGTCAAAACAGGCTTGCGCCACCACACCTAGCGCAACTCTTCCTGCTGGTTAGTGCGGGAAATCGTGATCTTGCAAAAGCTCAACAGGTGATCGATTGCTTTTCTCTTACTTTGAACAACTCCCCCGCGCGTCGTAACTCGGCTCCCACAGCGGTGCCTCTTGCGCTCGCCACCGCTAAAGCCTGGAGTCATTTCGCCAGCGCGCGTGCTGCCAGACTGGGCATGCTTGCTTGTTGCGACCCAGAGGTATTGGCCTCGCAAATTAATAAGGAACCCCACAAGACGATGCCCAAAAGGAGGTGGATGAAACAACTAAGTACTGATTTGTTGGATTCCACGTCACAAGGTTGGGTCAAATGAGGACATCATCCAAAGCTATGCTATTGTTAGGCCTTCCGGTTCACTTTTACCCTACCATTTCCCCATATTTGATCAGCTGCAGGGGCGGGGTGCTTGTGACTCCATGGGGCATGCGAGCTCCGTGCCTTCATTCACATTCCGGTTCAAAAAGTCCGGGTTAATCTTGAGCTCCTGGGCCGATGTATCGGCAGGTTTTAACAAAACGGCACCATGCACCGCAAAACGAGCGGACCATGACACCCAAAGCACATGGTGAAAGCCGGGCATTCAGGTTTGCGTTGGGAAGGCTGGACCGCGGCACCTTTTTCCCTGGCACTGGGAGTCCGTCAGCTTTTCGGTGACAAAGCCATAGAACTCGATGACATCGAGCTCCGGCTCCTCCCTAGCCTGCAGGTCTTGCCAACTGAGAGAGAGAGCAAAGGTCCTTAAAACAGCTGAACAAAACCCGAAAGGATTGATGTTTGCTGCTGGGAATTCGCCCTTCAACTTCTTTTGGCAACAAAGCGCATCCGCTGCTTTTCCCGATAAGCCAAGGTCTCCGGCCGTTTCTGCGCAGCTGGAAAGAGCGTTAACTGGGTGCCGGTTCTCAGGAAGGAACCCACATGCAACATGCAACATGCAGAACGATACACCCTTGCCAGAATGCCACACGGCTGAGAACCAGCTAACTGGTGCTCACCTAGAAGCAGCCAAGCATGCTGCTCAAAGCCATCTCTACCTCGGTGTCTGCGGTCAGTCTAGTCTTGAGAGGCTCTTGCTGTGTTGTATAACCACTGAGAAAGTTACGATTGCCCAAATGTGCCTTGCTAAGCATGGTTTGCCCGCCAAGAACACAAACAAAGGCAATAACGGAGCCTGAATGGCAGCCCCTTCCCATCCCGACCAGGGATGGTCAAGGCCCGCACGAGAGTTGCAACGGAAAAGGCGCCACCAATGATGGCGCAAATGGAAGTGAAGACATAGGACCACGGCTTCACCTCAACACGCTTCTCAAGAGGGTGAGATCAGTGAGATCCTGTAGATCAACCCGCTCATGCGAAATCAGGCATGCACAACTACGAACGGTCACACACGCACACACCCTCATGCAGGAAGCTGAATGTACAGTTGACAGCCCAAGCATGACCCTGACTGACATGGGTGTACACATGGTGCAAATGCCATCCCTTTGCCCTGCACGCATACTCGCAAATCCTCTCTGTTCCCTGAGGTATTGATGTGTAATTACTGCAGTCGACAGCTTTTGAGGAGGTATCGTCATGATTCGCATCATCTGTGACCCTCCTTATTTAATTTAGGATCAAGCAAACAGGTCTGTTGACAACTGTGCTGGAAAATCAATGCTCTTCTCCAAGCCACTACCTGGCGAGTTTCATGTTGGCGGGCAGGAGTAATAGATGTGCTCAGCCAAGGCTGAATGCAACTCAATCCGTGAAGGAGGCATTGGCATTGCATGCTGAACACCCACACTAGTAAACTGTTTCTGCTCCGGTTGAAGCCCTGAATGTTGAACAAGAACCCCGAAACATCGCGCACCCCGCCGTGGTTGAAAACATGTCCAAAGCGGTTGAACCACATGCTCCTTGAAAGTCAAGACCTCCTCGTCGTGCCTGCTCTGTCTGCTTCATCAGGAAGGGGCTGAAGTCATAAACCAGGAATACTCCTGGCAAACCAGACAGCTCGCCCTCCTTGACTTGCACATTCCTGGCACCTTGGATGCACTGGGCAAGGTACGCACATTCTTCAATGGCTGTCAAGTACAGACTTGCGCACTATCCATATAAAACTTGCATGATGGGAAACTTTGGCCACGTCTCTGATGCCGTTCTAATTGTGTATGCCAGGCAAATTAATGCTCTCCTAGTTGCTGTCAGTGACAGAATACTGGTTGGTGTAGGTGAGGCTGCCCCATCGGCTGATGAACACCGTCGGCACCAGCTTGATGTAGTAATGGTACCTTGGGTTTCCGAAAAGCAACGTGGTTGCTCAGTTGATCTTGGAATGAACTGTTGTCACTGGATGCATGTTTGGAGATTTCAACCGCTTTGATGTTGAGTTGAATCGCTTGACCCAGCGCAATTGGCGTAACATGTGGGATTGATTTGCATGGGCTGAGCACCCTGCATCCAAGATCCAGCACCAGCCTGAGTCGTCGGAGCTGTTAACTGTGACTAGCAGTCAATGCCTCATGTAACCTTCCTGGGCTGCGGGCAATCTTGCGGGTTCCTTCCAATGGCGACTGCAACCCCTCCACATACTCTCCTCAGTCCAAGATGTTGGCAGCAGGTTTGGTTGACTCTGCGTTTCCACAAATACCTCAATTGAATGGTGTTCATTGGTGAAATAGAAATCTACGGTGGGTAGCCTAAGGGGCCAAAGACTCTCCATAACTTGCAATGCTTAGGGAATTCAAACGTAACCGCCTCCTCCAAATGCTAAAGCATTAAGCGGAAACAAACGCAAAGAAGGCACTACAACTCTGAAGCCGAGCATCCGAACGTAATGGAATGGATGTGGTGGGAGGTGTTGAAGCCGTCACCTTGTGCTTTTCTCTCTCGCGCTCTCTCGCGCTCTCTCTCTCTCTCTCTCTCTCTCTCTTTATCTTCGTTTCTGTCTCACTCTGTTTCTTTTGTTCTCTCTCTCTCTCTGTGTATTGCTTGCTTCTTCTCTGTTGCTCTCCCTCATAGGCTTAAAGACAGTCACATGGGGGTCACTGACAGTCATGGGCATGTCAAGTCTAGGAATGTGTTTGTTTTTTTTTCCTTATTTTTTCTGTGCCCAAAGAAACAATCTTGAATTCAACAGTTGGAGGAATCTCCTGCTCTGTCCGAGACCAGTCCCGGCGCATGCAATTAGCAGAGTAAGTGGGTGACCAAACATTTGCCCCCAAGTTTCTTGAAGGCCCTGGTCGGATACAAGCACTGTATCCACTGACCGAGCACATGCACCTCAAGTTTCTCATCTGAATCTCTGATAGCATTGGTGAACCCGTTGCCTCTCGTTGTTTGTGGGCCCCTTGTGGTTGATATGGATTCAGGTAATCACACTCCTTCCCAAAGTCTCCACCCCTTTGTTACACGCACTGTTCACACAATGCAACCGTGATAGTAAAGCATATTGCTAGGGCGAGAAAGGGAGCCGGGCATGTAGGTGCTCGAGCGAGCAGGCTGCAAAACGAGTGGCCAATATCGTCGAGATTGAACTCGTGCACCAACTTGCCATCTCGCTTCACCGACTTGCCCAGGGCCACGTGAATATTGCCACTGACCTGTGAAGCATGCAGTCATTCACCTCTATATTGAAAGCAATTTTTAGTGCACAAAAAGACGTGGTCCCTGTCCTGGTGCTTTGAGCCACTGGCCCACCACACCAAACAAGGAAAAGCCAGCCCCCCCCCCCAACCGTGTCAAGGAGTTTGTGTCTCTCAGTCCGTGTGCCATGTCGGTTCTCGACATTGCCGTGCCTTGTTCACAACAACCTTGCCCTTGATCTGGCAGCCAATGGAATTCTTGCACTGCATAGCCGTGTCCAGCACGTGAAAGTACGGAATCCCCTGCCAAGCGCAACTCTACCATGATGTTCTGCCACAAACGATCCAAGCATTGAGGTCTGGATGTGCGGCACCTTGTCGTTGTAGGCATCTTTCAGCTCTTGGCAGCTATTGCAGCACCTGGGCCATTGGGTGATGCAAGACTTCACGAATGGCATTGGAGATGGCATGCTCAGAAGTGGCTTTAGTAGCAGTTGCGGTAGTGGGGTTACAAGCACTGGGAATCTGTTGGTTGTTCAAGTGGCTCGGGTCTATCTTCAGCAAACCATCCACTGACAACTCACAGAGCTCCTTGGATCAGGATGCTTGCCATTTGCTTTGGCAGTCCGAAAACCTTCTGAGCACTTTCCTGCAGGAATCTTGCAAGCATCAGGGAGGAAATGAAAGACCCTCCAACCCCAGGAAACCTTCATAAAACCCTCTTAGAATCAGCTTTTAATATCTCTCTTCAAGCAACTCCAAGGCGCTTATGCTCCGTATCGGCAGCTTCCAGGCAGGGCCAGCAGTCGTGGGCTCCAGCCACTGGGTCTCCTATAGCTGTCCACAGGTGCTGCCTGGACTCTTGGTTCATTGCGCTGATGGACACAAGCAACATGCGACACCTTCCCAAACCTTCGCTTGACATCTCAATACTGACGCACCAAGGTCACCAAGGGCTCCCTCGACTCGAACTCGTCGAAACCGGGCAAGATCCCTTCGGCCTGCAGAAAGCCGGCCAGAGGAGTCCAGGTTGTGCATCTCCAAGCCGCCATGGGCATCCACCTGAACAACTTGCCCATCGGTGACACCTGGAAACCGTGACAGCCCAGCCCCAATTCCACAAAGGTGGCACCAAAGTCATGTAGATGATTCATTTGGGGAGCCCGTCCTGCGTGTCACCAGCGGAATCCACCGTGTCCACCGAGACCTGGATTGAATCTGCTAAAAAGCACAAGGCAAGGGCTGGTGCGCCTCTGAGCAGCGCATATGCGGAAACGTAATATCTAAAGAGATGGGCAGCTTCCGGTCGATGTTTGTGTCGACCTGGGCAAGCAAGCACACATGATTTGTTGGTGTCAACTTTAGGGTGCACTGTTTGGGTTCTGCGACAGCGAGCAACCAACGGTGAACAACCATGATTTTCGTTGGGGGATCCCCGTTTCGTCTGGCAGAATTCTTGTACAACAACAGCCCCCCACCGTGATACTGTGCGCGATCTCCACAGTGAAGAATTCGCAGACTTCACCTTGCAGACGTCAAGAGACTCTAATTCTGCAGTTAAAACAACCACGCACTCTTTCTGCCCAATGTTGTACAACATGCTGTCTGTGCCAAGCAGCAATAGAGTAGCAAGGCCAAAATTGCAGCGGTGACAACAGTGACAAATCCACCGGTCTGCCGCTTTTGGACAAAGTCGTCATGCACCTCGAAGGATCGGCAAGTCAACTTGTCAAGGCTCTTGCAGGCTCATCGACCATACGACATGTGAGAAGAAAAAAAGGGCTGAATGCTGTGCAGGACCGGTTTGTAGAGCGGGCCGGCTATGCTGGCTCAACAAGCCAACCTGCTTGTAGTTGTAAACGCTTGTGGTTTGTTAAAAGCACAGCGCTGCAGTTCCGCACCTTGTTATAGACGTCAAATTTCTTGAGCGTCTCCAGTGCACCCGAAGCGGAGGAGGAATCCGCGTCACCAGCCGATGGAACCTGATCAGTAGCTGCCCTACTGCAAGATGGCTTCAAACACATGCAAGGCCAGCCCTCTATGTCTCTATGCTTCTGGGCCAATACTCTTGGACCAACGAACAAAGGCACAAACACACGCAAACACAACAGCACGCAAACAGAAAACAAACAACAAATACAAGCACGCACACACACACACACAGACACCCGCAAGACACACACACACAGAAACACTCAAAAACTACAAACACACACACACAGGACACAAACGCACAACAACAGCAACAGCAACAGCAACAGCAACAGCAACAGCAACACCAACTCCAACACCAACACCAACACCAACACCACCAACAACAACAACAACAACAA